GGTTGTTGCTTCAAAGCAGCCCCCACGGAGGGTTTGTGGAGGGTTTGACCTGGGGAAGAGCCCGCACATCCCTTCCCAGCCCTCGCACCCCGGCCCGACAGGCTCTTCCAACTTCTGCTCCACTATTTTCTTCCCCTCCTCCCTGTGCCCGGAGGTGCTGCCGGGATCCTTCTCCAGCTGCCATCAGGCTGGATTTCCTGGGCGTGAAGAGGTTGTTGTGCGGTTTGTTGTGTTTGGTGGGGTGTTTTTTTTAAGATCTAAACCACCGCCTGGTCTCCCTGCTTCTCCTGAGCTGGTTTCTTTAAGCTAAGAGGAGTAGGTGGCAGGAGCAGGGGATTGATGGGGTTATTTGCACGGAGCAGTGGAAGCCACTGCAGGCAGAGGGGGGGAGGCAGGATCAGGCCCAGGAGCAGTGAGGACCATCACTCCGAGGGGGCCAGGTTGTCTCTTTTTGCGACCCAACCATCACTTGCCCAAGCGGTGGCTGCTGAGAGCAGGTTTGTGCCGTGGGGCTGGGGGAGGAGAGCTCGGCAGGCTCAGCATCCATCGGGATGGAGAGGGGAGGAGTTTTTCACCCCCCCAACTCCATCGATCGAGAGGCACATGGAGCCCCTCCACCTCCCGAGCCTTGCAGAGATTTATCCCTCCTGGCCTCTGGGAGCCCTGCAGTCCCCTGCCCTCATCTCCAACCGATTCCTCCCTCCATGGCAAGGTTCCTCTTCTCAGCTGCTTCCCTTCCTCCATGGCAACCCAGCTGCTCCCTCCCTCCTGCAAGGCTTTGATGCATTGGAGCAGGGCTGGAGCTGCTTCCCGTGGTGTTCCCGGCATCATCCTGCCGGCTCAGGATGCTCCCAGGGTCAGGCAGGTGCCTGGAGCCCGTGCTGAGCTGGAGCTGCTCATGGGATGTAGGCTGGGAGGGAAGAGCATCCCCCATCTCCTCCTCCATCCTCCTCCTCACCCTCCTCTGCCCGGGGGTGGTTTCAGCCCTCGGGGATCACCTGGAGGCAGAGAAGGGATGGGTGGGATGTGCACCTGCTTTCCCCAGCACCCTCAGCTTGGCACTGGTGGGCTTCTCTTTGGGGGGACACCCCCTGTGGCATCCCCAGGACAGGGGGGTCCCCTCAGCATCCCTGCCCGGAGCCACCACACGGGGCCGTTCCCAGAGGAAAGCAGGGCAGGGTGGGGGCCCTGCTGGGTCCATCTGCTTCCAGGGCCAGGAGAGGGCCCAAAGCTGCAATTTCCTCCCAACAAACCTCAAGTTAAGAGACCAATTCTCCCAGTTCCTGGTCAACCAGTCGGCGTTTTCCTTTTCTAAACCTAAACCTAAACCCTGCTCCTTGGCTTTTTTTTCTTTAAAATCCTCCTCGCAGGGCTCTGGGATGCTGTGAGTAACATTGGCAGGGTGTTTACAGGACAGCATGGTTTCTGTCTCCCAAAAAAAAACAACAAAAAGAAAAAGAATCTGAGGGTGGTTTTTGTTGTTGTTGTTCTGCAACTCGTGAGTCACTTCCATGGGGAGCAGGAGCTGACATGTGGTTTTTAAAAAGCCTCCGAGGTCTGAGCACAGCTCCTCACCCCCCATGTCTCGCCTGTTCCAGCCACCCTGATGAGGCTCAGCATCCCCAGGGGGGGGGCAGCACCCTGGCTGTCCCCCCCCCAGACCCTGGGAGCAGAGTCCTGGCTGCTCTAACACCACCCAAATTGAAAGCAGTTGCTCCAAACAAAGTGTTGTTAACTCTGTAGGGGAAGGTGTGGGGGCTGCTGTGCCCCAGGGGTGGGAGTCAGACCCTGGGCAGGGGTGTAGGGACCATCCCCAGGGGGGTGGCACCATCCATCCCAGAGCAATGCTGTGATTTTCCAGCTAAGTTTCCCAGGCAGCTCCAAGCTCTGCACTTGGGACATCCTATTCCTGATGCGGAACACCCCAGGACTGCTCTGAGCAGGATAAAAAAGCTGGGAAACATCCCAGCACTGCTCTGAGCAGGTTCCCACCCCCCTGCACCCACCTGAGGAGCAGAGAAGCCCTGTGCTCAGGGCCATCAGTAAGTGCTGGGGCTGTGGTAGTAAATCCTGCTCCCTTCCAGTCTGGAGCCCTCCCTCCTGGTTCCTGGGCTGGGAGAGTTGGGTGTGGAACCAGCCCCGTAGTTCTGGAAAAGCAGGTTTTCCCTGTGTCCCTGGGGAAGAATCAAGGTGGTGAGGAAAAGATGGAGCCTTTCCCTCCTGTGGGATTTCCCCATGAGGGGAGGAAAGACATCCAGCCCTTTGGGACGTGCTCAGGGGGAGGAAGGGGACAACTCTGTGTCCCCTGACAAGTGCCTGTCCCTAAACCCAGCTGGGGTGGCAGGAGCAGGACCAGGGGTGCAGCACCCACCTTGGGTGGGGGGAACAGGGCTGTGGGAGCCTGGACTGTCCTTCCAGGGCCCCAGGACCCCAGTGGGGTTGCCCAGAGGCCCCTGGTGCTCCCACTTGTCCTGTCCTGACTCACCTGTCTGGCATTTCAAGCACTCCAGATTAAATCTGGAGCCTTTCTCCTCCTTTTTGGGGAAATGGGGACGGGCTCTGTGGGAAGGGCTGGCCGAGCTGCCACTCCCCAAATACCTGCTGGGGACCCTGGGAGCTGGCTGATCCCACAGGATACCTGTGCCAAGGGCTTGGAGCAGGATTGTGACCCCCCAGTTGGCTGGTTTTGCTCCCCAGCCGGTGATGGGAGGATTCAGGTTGCACCCTTGGGAGGGATGTGGCTGCAAACCCACCCCAGGGGAAAGCAGGGATCCTCTGGGAAGGACCTGAGTGGGGCAGAAGCTGCTCCTTGCAGCTGAATCTTGATTCTAAGAGGTGTTTTTAGAGGGGACATCCTGGTGCTTGTCACCTGCTGTCTGTGCTGGTACCACCCCTGTCCCCACAGAGCAGCCTGGATGCAGCTGTGGGGGGTGCTGAGCATCCTTCCCCTGGGGGGGTGCTGAGCATCCTTCCCCTGGGGGGAGCAGGGACATGGGCACAGCCAGGCTGACCCCACGGGAGGCTCTGGCAGCTCCACTTGTCCCTCACAGCCCCTGGAGTTAATTCTGTGGTCCCCTGCACCCACCACCTGCCTCAGGGTGAGGGCTGGGGGGGTGGAAGAACCACTGCTGACCAACTTCCCTCTCCTTCCTGCCCTTCCTCAGGGCTGCTGGAAGGACAATGAGTGAATCCAGCACCAAATCCAGCCAGCCCTTGGCCTCCAAGGGGGAGAAGGACGTGTCGGAGAAGAGGGGCCGGGGGCGACCCAGGAAGAAGCCACAGGTATGTGGGGTCCCCATGGAGGAAAGGGGGGTGGGCACCCACTGAGCAGCTCTGCCCACAGCAATGACCTCAAGCGTGGGCACCCCCAGGCTATGGGGTGGTGAGAAGCCCCTCAGATCACACCCTGGCAGCATCCCCTGGGGAGGGAGTGGGTTTGGAATCCCCTGGGATGGGGATACCCCATCACATCCCTGCAGGCAGCAGCTCCTGGGTGCTCACCAGGACGTCTGAGGGTCTTCAGAGCCCCTCCAACACCCCAGACCTCCTCTATGGCCAGGGAAGGGCTCAGAACCTTCTTTGCTCCTCCCTGGGCTGCAGCTGAACCTGCCTTTGCAGACAGGCTAATTAAAGCCTCATTAGCAAAAGCTGCTCAGAAGGATAAGATGCTGCTGGAGACTTTGTGGTGCCAACCTCCCCCCCTGCTGCCCCCCTCCCTTCCTCCCTCCACCCAGGGCAGGGGGGAGTCTGTGCACATCATTTTCCTGCAGAAAAAGGGGATTTGATGCTTCCCCAACACTTTGCTGGGCACCAGCACCGAGCTGGGATCTGGGGCTGAGAAACCAGCAGGGACCATCCAGATAAAACCCAGAGATTAATGCCAGGGTGGGATGGATGGGTCATGGCTTGAAGGCCACACACGAGTGCAACCAGTACCACCAGTGCTCCCAGTACCCTACATACAAGAGCGTTCCTGCCACAAGTGGGATCTGCTGTGGTGAATGGGGGCTCCCAGTGTGTGCTGCTGCACTGGGAGCTGCTCCAGGCACCCCCCAACTCCCTGGAGACCCCCAATCTGCAGTGACTCCCCCCCTTCCTTTGCTCTCCCTCCAGCAGGAGCCCAGTGAGGCCCCGACCCCCAAGAGACCCCGCGGACGACCCAAGGGCAGCAAGAACAAGGCCACCCCCAAGGGCAGGGTAGGTGGCTGCTCTGCTCGAGCCACCACGTGGCTGTGCTGTTTTGAGCTCAATCCTAGACAATTCAGGGCAGATCTACCCCTGGGATGGGGTGTCTCCGTGGTGGCCCCCAGGGCTGGGCTGGGAGGGAGGTGAGGACCGTGTGTGTCACACACAGGAACCTGTTTGTGAGTCACATCCTGCATCACCCCCTGAGTCATGGGGACAGGGCAGCCCAGAGCTGGAAACTGGTGGCCAGGGGGGGGTCAGAGGGACCTGGCTGCAACCCCGGGGTCACCCAGGGTGCAGCAGCCCAAGGAGATGCCACGGGGGTGATGAATTTGGCATGTGAGGGGTGGGCAGGAGGGAGGGGAACAGGATCTGTTCCCCCTGGGGACAAGGGGACATCCCCAGCCTGACCAGTTCTCTCTGTGTTTGCTCAGAAAGCTGCGGTCACACCAGGGAGAAAACCTCGAGGCCGACCCAAAAAATCAGTGAGTGGGCTTTTTTTCCCCTTCCCCCTCCACCCTGGCAGGGTGCTGGGCACTTCTGGGGGGATGGCAGCCACCCAGTTGTCCCCACAGCCAGACTGGGTGAGGGCAGAGCAGGCAGCAAACAGGGGAGAGTGAGCAAAAAGCAGGACCCAGACACCTGGGAGCAGGTTGTTCTCTCCATCCCTGGTGTGCACATCCCCCTGTCCCCAGCCCTGGGTCACATCCCTGCACTCAGGAGCTGCCACCAGGCACTAGGGACACCAGAGCCACCCAAGAGCATCCTCAGGCTGCAGCTGCTCTGTCCCACGGGTGGGTTTTACCCCTTTATCCCACTTAAATCCCTTCCGGAGGGTGAGAGGTGTTGAGATCAGGTGGGGCTGGAAAAAACAAGGGAGGGGGTCACATTGTGGGGCTCCCAGCACCACGGGGGATCCCGGGTGGGGTGGGATGGAGCCTGGACCATGCCAGCAGGGCCATGCTGGGGACAACGTGTCCCTCTTTGGCAGGCAAGGGTCACGGTGGCTTTTTTAATGAATGGGGGAAGCAGGAGGCAGCGGTGGCTGGGGCTGAGTCAGGCTCACTCAGCCCTGACTCACCCTGTCCTGCCACCACCACCTCCACCTCTGCTGGCAACTGGGGGGACACAGCCGTGATGCTGGGGACTGTGGTCTCACCCCTCAGGGTGTGCAGATCCTCACCCACCCCGGGTTGGGGGTTGAGGGGTTGTTTCTTACCTGGGATTTAACCCATAATGGTTAAACTGGTCCCCGTGCCCAGGAGGCTGCTGGTGCCTGTTTCCCTCTTTGCACGAGGGGGGTGATGAGTTTGCTCAGTTCTGCAGCCCAGGGTGGAGCAGGGCAGGGGGGGGGTGTGTGTGCAGCCCCTGGCCACC